TTTGAAAGAAAAAAAAAATATATATATATATATATATATTCTATTGATCGTATTGAATGTTTTTAATTACATATATCATGAATACAAAGTATTTTTAATGAAATCAATAAAAGTCAATAATCAAAAGTAAAAAGAAATAATAATTTTAAGAACTGCAACTGTTAGTTTGTTAATCCATAAGAGACAAATTCAATTTGAAAGGTAAATACTGTTGCTTGTGTAATGGGTTCTTAATGAAATGATTCCACACAGAACCAATGATAGCTTGATAAAATTTATTTTTAAAAAAGATACATTTTACAGTTCTGGAACTTTCTAGAAAAGTACTTATCCAACTCTTCTCAGTATGACAGAGCACAATCAATAATTACTACTTCAAACTACTAAGGACATAAAACACAATGCAAATTGCATCTAAACAGTGAAGCTCACACATTACATTGAACAATAAATCTGTCAATACATTGAACTAAAAACTGAGAGCTGATGCTATCTCCGGTCTCATATAGTTTTTTTTGGCCTCTGAAAAATTTCCAAAGCCTTACTTCTCCAGAAGTTACTGGAAGGCATATAAAATTAAAATATAAAAAATTTGTGTACTCATTTACAAAATTATATACACGTTATATATTTATGTTCACATATACAACATGGTCTTTAGGATACTATTTACATTGTATACACCATGGGAACTGCCTACTATGGCAATAGTAAGGGGCTAGCCTGTTGTAATGAATAACTTTAGACTTAGAATTTGATGACGTATGGATCTGAACTACGATGGCGTTCAACCTGTTTAGGACTGTGTACGGACTGCCCCAGGAGGACTACATTTTAGAAAAAAGTCCTTTCCATATAATCAGATTCTATAATCACATCTTGTCATCTTTGTTCAATTAATGTCCTGTAGCTCTCTTGTAGTAATGGGTCTTCATCTTCTCCATCGCCAAGTTGACTCGTTCTCATGCAAAATTATATACACCATGCCTGGAAGCTATTACTCCATGCCTCCAGGCCATTACTCAAACCGAGCCTGGAGATTTTGAATCTACTCCTCAGGGCTATGAAGGTGCGTCTCGAGAGCGACCAAACAGCAGATCACAAGGGAGACAAAGAGCATCTGTCATGGGGAATAGCTAGTAGTCTCCAGGGCAGCACTGTGATAGGAGTCCCAGGCACTGTGTCCAGTTAAAGGAGAAGTTATCCTCTGTCCTGTCTTGTAACCATCAATGAGATATTTGTTAAGTATGGTTCAAATAATCCTCTCTACCATGCCATCTTACTGTGGATGTAAAGGTGTCATTTGGGTTTTGTTATGAGTAGTTTACAGACATCTTTAATTACAACTGAGATAAAATTCCTTCTTTAAATGGAATGTAACTGAAATCCAATGCTGTAACCTCTGCTACTCTGACAGCCTCTTGATCACAAATAAAGCATGCTGCAGGCCTCTTTGTAAAGTGATCAGTGATAATGAAGACATGTGCTGTCATCAGCTGTTCATAGCAGAGATCTCAGGATATCAAAGGCAATGCGTTCAAAAGGTATTCCTACATGGTAATGTTGCAGCTTCCCTCGGCTGTGTATCTTTCATTCTTTCTGGCTGGCATGGGCATCGCAAGATTGGCACCACTTCTGCACTTCAGCTCTTGTATTACTCCAGTAGAAGCACTCTCAAACTCAGTGCATGGGTTAGTCAGACAATGTTGAATTTGTAACTTGACCTGTGGCTGGATTAACCACCTGGTATTTCGCTTTGACCCTCGAACAATATCGGCAGCTTTCTGGGCAAGGTCATCTAAGTGGTAGTGCATTCCGATTACTGATAGTGTGATGCCATATTCTTCTGGTCTCTATCCATCCGACTATTTGGCCTTTGAGATTTTTGAAATTAATGAGCCAGGTTAACATTGCATGATATGTGCAGAGCAGGAATTTTCTGCTGTAGGGTTAATGGTGGAAATGGCATTAATGAGGTAGTTCTTTTCTGGTGATACTGTAATTTCTCTCCAATTTAGATGGATGCATGCTCCTTTATGCCACAACACATTCTTAATTATTTATTTCTTCAGACAAAACAGCACCGACATTCTCTACTTAAATCATATATCTTTCTGACTGGGATGATGGGAGAGGCCCAGGGACGTATTGAAGGCTCAATAGCGTCACATTCTTCCGTGTCATTTAGAAGTTCCCATACCTCTTGCTGTTTAGCAATCAGTCTAATGTTGCTCGATTGGTGGTTGAACCTCCATATTATTCTTTTGCTGTGAAAACTGGTTCAATGTATGTCAGAAGCCATACGGGAGACAACATCTTTGAAATTGAAATTCAAAGAATGAATACTTGAATGACATACTCTGCAGCACTCCTCTCTTCATCGCTTAACTGTGAATTCTGCAATAACTCCAAAATTATGCTCTTCAAAGATAAAGACTTTAGAGAAGTACTGGTTTGTTTACAGAGGTTATTGGAATACATGCAGCAACTACTTCACTTTTCCTAACGACTTTCTCCTTATCACTTAATTTGGCATCTCTCATTATGATGATAGTCATTGATAAGTCAAGTACTGAGGCTGCTGGTACTCCTTTCGAGCTTTTCAGTTTTTAGAATATTACATTATGCTGTACTGCAAATTTCTATTTTAGCTGTAGATCCTGGAGGTAAAAATTCTATTCTCTCTGGTATTGTGATATCATCTTGAGCTATAATTTGATGGACTTATTTAACTTCAAACAGGCTTATATTCTGAAAGGCAAAATGCAGTTCATTATTTTTAAAGTTCAAGGGAAAATTGTGTAACCTTAGAAAGTCTAATCTGAGGACGCAAGGTTCTGTAATGGTTACCACATATGTGATCTAGCAAGTAGATGGCACTTCTAAATGTAATATGAAGGTTTAACTTTCCATCAGTGTCAGTTTTATCACCTGACACTGTCTGGAGCAGGGCAGTGTCCAAATCAGTTTATCTACCAGTCGCTGAGCCAGATTTTCTCATGTTGGTAACATTGTCTCCTGTACTGTCATATTACAAAGAACTCCATTGATATGTCTTATGATGAAGAGTTCATTACTGCCGCCACTCATTTCAGAAATCTGAAGCACGTTAAAATGGGGATTCTCAATATCTGCCAACCTCCACTCTTTGAGATGGCCATTAATTTGTTTCCTGCCTCCTTGCTGGGGAGCTGTGTTAATTTTTGTGCCTTGGGCTGCAGTTCCTTATGCTGCTCTCACCCACTGCTGTTCCAACACTTAAGGGTTGGTTTGTAGCAACTCGTATTCCTTCCCAAGACATTAAATTACCGAGTTAAATCATGTAAATGAGCTGTCAATTGATCCTCTGGCTCTTTGACATGAGCAGCTATGATTGGGTAGCAGTCTGTACGAGCTACTTGCTGTGCTCCCTCGAAATTCTTGGCATATGCTAAAGTGCTTTTTAGATTCTTGACATCTGTAACTTTCAGGGCCTTTCTGTATCTCAGAACCCAAATACCATCAATGAAGTACTGCAGGGACAGGGTGTTTCTTGTTTCTTAGGGCAGTTCAAAAAGGTGGAATGAGACAGTCTTTCAACATCAGTGGCAAGCTCCTGCAGTTTTTTTTTGGGGGGGGGCTTCTGTTGGCAGGATTTCATCTGAAGCCTACTATGAATTCTTCTCGCCAAAGTGCAGCGCCAACTTGCCAGATAGCAGTTCAAAGTGCAGCTTCTGCTTTTTGAGCAGAATTTTGATTATATCTACAGCATCTGTTCTCAGAGAAGCAACAAGATAGCAGACCTTAGTTTCGGAATCCCATCCATTTGCATCTGCCATTAGAGAGACGCTTGCCAGGAGGTCTTTTCATTATATTTGGAAAGCTTTTGATAGGGTCAAAAAGACATAGGTATGAATTTGAAGTCATCAGAATTGTGTCCAGTTGTTACTATTTATTTGTTTAATCTGCCAACTTTCTTGGTATCAACAGCAGAAACTTTGTCATAAATTTGTTGTCCAACAGCAGAAACTCTTTCTTCTATTTCTCCAACTTTATTTTCAACTGTGTCTTTTTGCCGTCCATAGCATTGAACTTCTTTTCTATTATGTCAGTGATTTCTCTTTTCATTTTCTCTTGACTTTCTTCAAGCTTTTCTTGAACAGCTTTCATCTCTTTTTTTAATGGATTCTTGGCTAGCTTTTATCTCTTTAACAGATTCTTGGCAAGCTGCTATTTTCTTGTCCAGCTTCCATCCTTTCTTTAATAGGTTCATGGCCCACATTCATCTCTTCTTTAAATGCAGCAAAGGTTGTTAGCAGTTGTATTAGTTGCTCCCCATTGTTATTTTCTCAGGTATTCAACCCCACTCCTGACATCAAAAATTTTCTATACGTATGGGAATGCATGCTGAACTGATGATAAAATTAATTTTTTCCTAAAGAAACAATTTTCAGTTCTGGAACTTTTCACTAAAGTACCTGTACAGTTTCCCCCTGGCTACCTAGAAGTTTTCAGTATCTTCGATTTCTTGAAATTGCTGGAAGGCATATACAATTAGAGTTTCATAGGACCTGGACATGGTTAGAGTTAGACAGTGATAGGACTGATTAGAGTTATATGGGGCTTGGGCCAAAATGTCGTCAAGTGGCATCTGCCATAACGTATTGATAGTAACATTTAAAATGAATCAGTTCAAAATTATGTTTCAAGGCTGATAACTCTATTCGGCTAATAAAAACAGATTAAACTCACAATCTAACATTCATCATATACGTAGGGTTTTCCTTAAAATTAATGCTGATTTAAAGATAAATTTTGCCTAATTTTGACTTAAATTATATCATTCTATTTCGTGTTTAGATTTCTCAGTAACATATATTAATTCATTTGAAGTCTTTGCATATCTTCTGGAATAATGTGCTTGCTTCCCTGTTTCTTCAGCAACTAGTACAAAATTCCAAGACTTTAAATGAAACCATTTCTGATATTCTTTTGGGCAAATATGTGATTTGTTCCTGCAGGGTGATAATTCTTCTCGAGACCAACTTTCTGCATCTGAGCCTGTTGCTGAAAGCTTGTCTAATACCACAAACTCTCTCGTTGTTTCTTCTGTATCTCCTGACACATCACTTTCTGGTATTAATGGTGAAGGGAAAATTTCTCTTTCAAATTCTGTTCCACAGCTGTCTGACCAGAAAGCTGTGAAAATTGGTGAAAAAACAAGTAATGCCACGGCAAAGCCAGCTGTGCCTCCAAAGCCTTTGAAAAAGAAGGTGAAGTGAATGTCTTATAAAATATTTATGTGCATGTTCTGTTTGGTGCTTTTGTCTTTACATTTTGCATGAATTTATTGCTTTCTTACTTATGGTGCAGTGAAAAATAATTGCTATATGATTATTATTTTAAGTGATTTTATTTTTATTTATATATGTTATGTGACTTTGTTTCTGAGATAATTCATGATGTCATTTTTTACTCTATAAGTGCAAGCAAATATGAAATGACATTAAATGTAATTAATTATGACACAGTGCTGGATCAAACTATATGTCCTTCAATTACAGCATTCCCTACTGTTTTAATTGTATTTTTCCCCATCGCAGAAAAAGCAAACAGCAGATTTTTCCCTTTAGGGACTTTAAATTGGAATAGCGCAATATTTTTTTTGGGGGGGAGGGTGATTTTTTATTTCAGCTACAAAAAGATGTAATTAATTAAGCTAGATATGTGTGATATTATTATGAAATAATAAAATGGTATAATTAATTTAACTTTTTCAGCAAGCTGTTAATTTTTCAAATCATTAAATAAAAAATTGAGGAAGGTGTTAACTATAACAACATAATATTAACAATACTGTTATGTTGTTTTGCTAGATTTCGGTTTTAAAGAGAGTGGACTTGTACATGTTGAAACAAATCCTTTTGTGAACATCAAGCCACAGTTACTTTATGCAATTAATTAAAGTACACCCCCAAAAAATCTCTTAATAAACTTTGGCAGCAATTACTGCTTTGGCATAGGATATTCTTAATGCTTGCTTGTACTGTTTTCTTTATCTGTAGATGATTATTACAGACAAAAATATTCATCTTGATCAATTGATATTTTGCAATAATCATCTTACCTGCCATCTTTCTTTTCAGTTGCTTTTTGTACTTTATGCTCCTTCAAATTTTTCTTATAACTGCATAGTGTAAAAGTACAGTTGATTGGTACATTATTTTGATTATTTTGAATATTTGTGTGTTGGAGGTCCTGCAGTTAATTGTTTAAATGAGAAATAAAAAGTAATCATGAAATTTTCTGAAAATTAGCATTTCGCCATGCACATACAATGGAACATAGCATAAATTTCATACATGCTATTATTGTTAAAATAAACATGAAAAAAAAGAGAGACATTATAATAAGGTTTAAGAAAATTGAATAAAAAAATTTAAAAAGAACTGGTTTCTGCAATCCCAGACTTAGTGTCTGAGTGGGTCTGTAAAACTTGAAGGATAGTCCTGAAAACTTGCACACTTTTATTAGCATATATCTATATATCTCTATATATAATGAACAGCTAATTAATAAAAAATTTAATCTTCCAAAAGTGGCAAAAAATACACTCATGTCCATAAATTAAGGATAATGCAGAATCAGGCAAAGGAACAGTTAGAAGCAAAACAAATTTTACTTATTTGTAAAGCTTATTTATTAAACAAAAGGTAAAGATCAAAAAAAGATGCTATATGTTTGATATTATTAAAAAAATTAGCGATTTTTTTCTCCCTGGAGCAAATTACAAAAAAAACAAAAAAAAAAAACTATTTACAAAAAACCAATATTACATGGTTGGTATGATTGTTAATACATTGTATGTCTCCCAGACGATGCAATACAGTCCGTACAACGCCTAGGCATGCTGAGTATCAAATTATCGATCTGATCTTGGGGGGGGGGATATTACACCACTCAAAAAGCAATGCTCTCCGAAGTTCCGGTAGACATGTAGGAGGAGGTTGACGGGCTGCAACTCGTCGGCCAAGCATGTCCCACACGTGCTCTACTGGATTCAAGTCCGGTGAGAATGCTGGCCAGTCCATACGGGTGATATCCTCCGATTGAAGGCATTCGCTTACGATGTTTGCACGGTGAGGACGGGCGTTGTCATCCATAAACACAAATTGTGCGCCCATGGCGTCCCGAAACAAACGTACATGTTGTTCCAGAATGACGTCCCGATAGATTTGGCTTGTCATGGTTCCAATTTGAACATGCAGGTCAGTTCTCGAACCCAGAATAATTCCACCCAAACGAGCACCACCGTAACGGTGTCGTTCAATGATATTTCCTTGGTGGTAACGGGTACCTGGAGCTCTCCATATGAAAGTCCAGCGAGAATCAGACTGCAAGCTAAACCTGGACTCGTCGGAAAACATCACACAAGCCCACTGTTGCGGTTTGTCCACATGCATGCTCTCTACTCCAGGCTAACCGCAGGCGACAGTGAGTTGCAGTAAGTGGAACGCATCTGACAGGTCTACGAAGCATATAGACCAATCTGCCCTAAGCGTCTGTACACGGTCTGCCTTGAATTGTCGTACCAGTGGCTGAAGAGAGCTAACGAGACAGGTCTGAGGCTGTGCTCCGCCTCTTTCTTTTGACAGTAACTACCAAATAGGTCAAATACTAGGAGGGTCAAATACTGGTCCTTATTCAGCATTGTAACTCTGGGGGACCTGTGTTGTAACGTCTACTCACATTACCATCATCTTGGAATCGTTGCCAAAGCCTGGAGATGTCACTCTGTCAATTCCAAGTTCGTCTGATACTTTCAGTTGGGTACGCCCACATTCCAGACGGCCGATAATTCTACCACGTAAAAAATCATCCAAATGCGTCCTTTGTTTCATAACTATTCGGTTATTGCACTGAAATGCTTATAAAGCGCCTGCGAACAATTGTACTTCTTTTCCTATATTCCTTATATATCACTCTCTTACACTCTCGTCATTGTGCTGTACCATCGGTGTCATCTGGTTACTTCCTGAAATTTGCATATGATTCTTGAAGATGTGTGTAGTGATTTTACAGGTGATATATTTATTTTAGAGTTCGATTTCCGCGTGACTCCGAATTATCCTTAATTTATGGCCATGAGTGTATATAAAATAAAAATCAGAATTGAAACAAAAAAGCAAAACAATAAATCTATATAAATACAAAACCAAATAATGAATACTAGTTGAAAATTCTTTGGTCTTTTTCAAGGAACAGCGGAAAAATTTCAGTAGAGCCACATTTCTGATTTATATCAGGAGGATTATCAAAATTAATTCATTAAAATAAATCAGAATAATAGATTTAAATGTAGTTTTAAATTAAAGCATTAATATAAAGTAAATTAAACAGTTTTAAAATACCAGTTACGAAATTAAAGTTGGAAAAAAAAAAAAAAAAAAAAAAATGGAATTTATTATTCTTTGTAATGCTGTCCCACAAAATAATTTATAATAAAAAAATAAAACATAATGTGAATTTTGAATTTCAAGGAGGTTGTAAAATTAAACTTCAGGTATATTTTTCAAACAATATTTGCTTTTACATTTCTACATCTACAGTTCCCTGACATTACAACATTTGATAGTTAGGTGATAATGATGGCCATTGCAATCTAAGAAAAATTTAGTTGCATCTAACAGCATGGCTCATGTATGTGTAAACATTCTATTTCATAAAACCAATTTTTTTTCTAATGGTTTTCTTAATTAAAAAATATGTTATACATTTTAATCTCATTTATGCCATTTATGTAGATTTTTCCATCATTTTTAAGCTCGCGTTGCAGAGGACCATCCATTATTTTTATTTTTACGTAATTTAAATTTAATTTCACGAACTCTTGAACAGGCAACATAAAGTTGACCGTGTCCAAATGTAGGCTGAAGTAAAACGTGCCAACACGCTTAAGCGTTTGGCCCTGGACTTATTGATGGTCATAGCAAAGGCAAGTTTTACAGGAAATTGTATACGTCTCAGTTGAAACAGCAACCCTATCCTATGGCAACTTCACCCCATTGGCTAGTACAGTTATGCAAGCAACCAATAAACTATCGGCGACAAACACTTAAGCCACATATATATAAGATACCAGATCATATATAGTGAAGCAAATGTTTGGTTCCTTGAAGTTCTTCTTCCTATGAGGGTTCAATAATTGTCATAAAATATTATACAGTCAAAACGGACTAGTCGGGACTTCGGCGAATCGAATTTCGATTTTTTACGGATTATAATCATCAGTTTAAATTGTAAGATGGCATGCAGAAATTATAAAATTAAAAATATGATACCGTAATTTATGAATAAAGAGCAATTATGATCTAAAGGGTATCAAAATTTACAAAAAGTTTTATATTTATTGTTTACTTTATGAACAGTTCTTTCAACGCGCATGCAAAAGCATACATTACGCATAGCGAATTAGAAAATTGCAACCAGAAAACTATTTGATTGTACTCGTGATATTATAATAACGAGGAATTTGATTAAATCATATCAAAGACGGAATACATCGAGATGAAATCTACATTAGTAAGGAATATAAGTGGAATAAAAAAAAAATCTGCCCTGAAGATAAGGATAGTGCTGACAGATTAATTCCAGTTCATCGCACGCCGCGACGTTCCCTCCCCCGCAGGCAGCGTGAAATTGATAAACATATTTCGGAATGGTTAAGGAACAAAGATATGCCTTATCCATTTTTGCAGCAATTCCATTTTGTTGATGGGACATCGAAATTACTTTGCTTTGTAGATGATCCTTGGAGCTCCAGCATCGGAAATTCTATTTGACATAATCGAAAGTTCAAGCTTACTTTTATAAATTGCTCTAAAAGTCTGCAAAAAAATAATAAGCGGATCCAATTCGAAGTTAAGGAACAACGCAATCTAAATAGATAATTAGATAATTTTAGCTTAGCTTATACCATCCGTTATACATTAAATGCGCATGCGTAAACGTATTATACGCATGCGCACAAGCATATGCGCATGGTTAAAGTATTACACGCATGCGTAAACGCCTATGCGCATGCGTGAGCGCATTATGCTTTGACGCATGCGCGGAAAGTTTCTAGCTTTGAGGTCCGGATTATGGGTGTCCGGATTAATGACTTTTGACTGTATATATATACATATATATGTGTGTGTGTTTGTATGTGTTTATTGTTCTTGAAACATTCAATGTAAAATATTTTAGATAATTTTCTTGTTTGTTTAGGAGGCTATACGTAAAGAAAGAGAACGCCTCAGGCAAGAACAGGAAGCTTTGCAAAGGGAGCGTGAAGAACACAGGCAAAAATTAATTAAAGAGCAAGAGGAGCTTGCAAAAAATCACCCCAAATCCCATGGTACACTAGTAAAGAAATTTATTACTGTCGCTATAGTACTAACTGTCATTCCAGTTTCTCTGTATTGCCTCTTCTCTTACATTTCAAAAGTGCATGTATAAGATTTATGGGCTGGTTTTTTTTAAATAGTATTGCTTCTGTTTGCGTTTTAATTTAGCTGACAACCAAATTGGGACTGCTGGATTCAGTCTAAATATATAACGTGTTGAAAAATATCAATGAATCAACACCATTTATTATTTAATTTTATATAGAATTATATTAATGGAGGGCTCAGTTTTCCATTTATTGTATTTTCCTTTATTGTATTTTTTATTTATTTATTTAACAAACTAAAAAGCTTATACTATGTTGTGTTCTTTAAAATTAATAATGTTCCTCATATACAGTGATTCAGTTTAGTTGCATCACTGTACATCTGATTTTAAAAGCATTAAATAATGATCTACTGCTTTGATTTAAGATTCATTTTCTGATATGTTATATTGCATCATTTTAGTTTAAAAAATTTTACCTATATTTATATTATAATTTTTCTGTTTTTGAATGTTTCATTGCATGGTTTACTATGCTTAACCTCATGTAATGTTTGTGCTCTGTTTAAATTGTGTGATTTTTCTGTATTTTTAATTTTTATTTTTAAGTAAAAAAAATAAATAATTAAAACAATTTTAGACTTTTATAAGGAATTGTTTGCAGTTTAGTGTATCTTACTTTTAAAATGGGGTGTTTATCCTTACCCAGCTATAGTGTGGTACACATATTGCATTTAGTCTAAAGATTTTCATGTGTGTTTAGAAGTTCACAACTTATTAAATGTGACATCAGTTCTGTCATGTTTCACATTAAATAATACATAACATTTCAGAAGTTATTTTACTTCCCATACATTGTTGTGACATCTGACATATGCAATGTCCACAAGAGACCTTGCTGGGCTTTATTTTTGCAACCATCGATTATAGACGTATACTTCCAAAAATAAAGACTGAGTAAGAAGTTTTCTAGAAATGGTGTATAATTTGCTTTAAAATTTGAAGGTTGTGGAGGTCGTTGAATCAAAAATGAATAACTTAAATTATGGAAACATGTTTTAATAACATCTTTCCTTTCACTAAGTGACAGAAAAAAGTATTCTTAATGCCTAAAAGCAAGCACAGTTTTATGTGATCTTTTATAAATGGCATTTAGCTGTCTTAGTTTTCTGTACTTCTGAGAGAATTGTTTGTATTTCAGTAATATATCAACTATTCAGGACAAGAATCACAATTTATTCAATTAAAGAATGTGCCTCTACAATAAAAAATATTTAAAATATAAAAGAAATTGGTTTGATAAAATAACAATAAAATCTATAAAAAATAGTAATATTTTGTAACTGTGATATTACAGTTGTCATATAAGTTAAAGTAAAATTAATGTAGTAGTAGTAGTTTTGCTTTTGTTTGTGCATGAGGTTAGAAAAATGAAGTTATATATATATATATAATAGTAGGCTGTTTAATTCAAAAAAGATGCTCATAGCTTTGGTTTACAATTAATTATTCATTTACATATATTATAGCTAATAAGTACAGTTTTTAACTTTGTTGTTTATAACTATTGAAGACCATCATGCATAATTTTACAATCAATATAAAAATAATTATTTCTAAAGACTACTTAACATTCAGCCTCTTTTATAATCTAAAATAATTTTTAATAATATTAATCAAGAAAATAGTTTTACTTTTTTCATTAGAGTTCCTATTCTTTACATTGTATGCTCTCTTACTTTGTCCTCATTTTTTCCTTCCATTTTAAATCTAATTTTTATACAACTCATTCTCACTTAAGATTCTAGGATTGTCATTTTATTTTGTTTTAACAATAATGAATTTCATCATGTAAGAGGAGTTCCTTCATAAATCTGTAACCGTATTATCAATTAAATAATACACTATTTTATACAAAATATCTTGAAGTTTCCAATTTTTGGCAATATCCAGTTAGCCTTATGTTCTCTGCCCCTCCCTCAAATTTTTACTTAAAGCCTGTTTATCTTTTTGTTTTTAGAAAATTAATAAATTGTTAACATAAGTTTGTGGAAATCTTTAGCACATGAAAACTTTCCATAAGTTTTCTCATTGCTTTAGATTTAAATGACAAAAAAATGTCAAATGTGTGTTGTATGGCCAACATAAGCATGCAGATAGAAAGAATTTTTCCCCCTCCCAGAACTGGGCATTTTGTAAGCGAGTTCCTCCCATTAAATTTATAAAAATTATCTTTCCCCCTTCATTTTTTTATTATTATGATTGAATATGTGCACTTATTCACTGCTTTTGTTAAAATTAATTTTGCTGATAATACAGTACTTGTCTTCAATAATGGGCTTTGCAAGAATGTTCATTTGGTATGATCCTACATTGGCAAGAAACAAACGGTTAGTGATCTAACTGGCTTTTCGTAATTGCATTGTCTGAGCCTAGCATGTTTAATACTCATTATGTAAAATACTCATCACATTTATTATTTTCAATCTTCCATCAATGGAAAAGAAACTGTATTTGATGTTTGAGGCATTATTTAACAAAAAATTGTAACACCAGAATGAGTCCGTAAAAAATGAGCTCTCTTATATGTTTAAGTATTATATATGTATATTTTAAATAAATTGATAACAAAATTGCATTAAATAAAACAATAAGTAGAATTTTTTTTACATTTATATATGTTTTCAGTTCAGGTAATATAGATTGCTGATGTATTTATATGACAGTTAAACTTCTATTGAATTATGTTAGCATTTTAAATAAATCATTGTCAAAATTATTTAAAATACTATAATAAATATAAATTTGTGTTAAATTGTTTCTATACATATGTATTAAATAACTTATGCTGTGTAGATACAATAGTCAATTTTGTTTTTATGTATGCTAATAACTTTAAACAACAAATCACACTTTCTGGAGCCCAAATTGCACCAGTGCCATTTTTCCTCACCGAGGCCTCTGTAAAAGACAAGTACTGCTAATACTATGCAAGTAAATAGGCTTTGCATTTTAAATATGTAGAGGTTTGAAGATTTGATAGTGTATGATTTTGTGTAGGTATAGTAGTAATTTGATCTCCTTCCCTGTCCATTGTAGCTCCCGATGTTCCCTATTCACGATTAGGCCCACTTCCTCCTCTTGTCAAGCCTGCTTACCCTCCACAACTAACCCCTTCCCTTTCTGCTCTACCTGGTAACAGAGAGAACATCACTGTCGCTAGTAGGAGTATCCACGGGTCTCAGAATGGCAGTCTTGGTTCTGGTAAGTTGTTTGTTACTTGTTGCTTGGCATTGTCTTTGTTTAATATCCTTGTTTCAAGCTGTTAAATATCCTTGTTTCAAGCTGTTCAGTATCCTTGTTCAAGCTTGTCCAATACCCTTGTTTCAAGCTAGAGGAGTTTCAATCTATTTTCAGTGCATTTTTATTATAAATATGAAAGTGAATATATATATATATATATAATTTATTAATGATAGAAAGTTAATGAGTTTATAGCTGTCCAAATGGTTAAATGTTGCTTTTAGTAGTTTTATATCAGGTTAATTTTTTTATGGCTATGAGGTTTTTTGCGTTTTTCTGTAATGTGTAAAACTTTGTATGATCATATTTATCTGCAGCTATTTTGATAACATTAACCAAATTATAACATTAAATGATGAAGAAAATAGTGCCCTGTAAAACAGCAATCTAATTTAATATATAGTATTAAAATAACTTCTTTTTCCTTAGTGGCAGACAGGTACTTGTCTATAATGGCATTAGCTACTGCTAAGGTCAGAAGTGGTGGCAATTTTATTGTAGAGGCACCTAACAGGCGGCCACCATTATTCCCTAGGAAGGGACAGACAATTTTACATCCATCCCTTCTCCAGGATTCGAACTGGGCCCTTCGGTATTACAGTCAGACCACCCTAACCACTATACCATGTGGGCGACAATATAAAATAACTTGGAAACATACAAATAGATATTTTCACAGCATTTTAATTAGAAAATGCAAAAATTTATCTATGAGCTGTTCATAATGTCTTTAATGCAAAAGTGTATTTTTCAACTATTCATATCACCTAAGGAAATTACTTCACCAATGCTGTGCTCTTAATATTGAGATTCAGAAGGCATCCCTCATTAAGAAAGAACATACTTACATGAAATTTTAAATTAAGCCAAAAAGCAGCCAATTTTTTGTAGATACTTTCAGAATTTTTTTTCGAGGAAAAAAATTGTGCATGTTTTTGGGAGGGGGAAAGAAGAAGAAAGGCTAGTCTTCTATCATACGACAAAATATCTACGGCGATCGATAGTTAATCAAAATCTGTGTCATATAAAGTTACTCTTTCGCAAATTTTAAACAGTTGACTAAAATCAAAACCAAGCTATTTTGTAACTCAACCCTTAATCATTTGGTGACATTTCTCTGTTGCTTGGTAATTTTCTAATCTATTTTGACCTTATTTGGCAAACTTATCTCTCTCTCTCTCTCTCTTTTTTTTTTTTTTTTCAGTTTTAATTTTGAAAAACTTGTTCTATAATAGTTTGGTCATGTTAATCAAATTATTGATCACAATAAGTCAAGTGTTTTCCACATTTTCATTGTGATCACATTAAGTGGCATCAATTGTAAATAAAATACATGATTTACATTAAAATTAGAATACTGTTTGATTAAATTTTTGATGGCTGCCATGTTTTTGTGTTTCTCTATCATAAATAAAACTGGCATAGTCCAGTTTTCGTAAGATATTTCTGCATAATTATATTATTTTGTTGGTCGATGGCTTTTAATGCTTTACCATTTCTTCTTTGTCTTCTATTGTATGCAAGAAAAATATAATTAATTTTTGCAGTTAAGTCTGTTCCAATAGTTTTTTGCTGTTATCTAAGAAGGGCAAGAGTTAATAAATTACATATGTTTTAAACAAGAAAAAGACTTCTATATCATGCTAATTAAAATTAAAGCTTTTTTTTTTAATATGAAGAAGCTATTACACTGAAATTATTTTTTATTCATACCTTTTATTTAAAAACCTTTATCAGGTATTCCTATATTGGGAACTTTTAAAAAGTTGTTAACTCAGGTTTCTCAAATCTATATAATAAATTTGTGTTATGATGAGAATATATTTGAGTTCAAAGATACACTAGAAGTATACCTATGAATAATTTAATGTTCTTAAGGAGGAGTCTGAAAGAATAAATGCTGAATATCTGAGAATGTATCTTATTTCTTTCAGTAGATCCTTTCAGTCAGTTGATGAATAAACAGAACAGGCCAGTTATCCCATCCCAAACTAAGGTACCATTAAATGAAATCTGGGGTCAGCAAAAGGTTAGCATTTTTATTTTCTTAATTTATTGCATAATTTCTTTTTATCACCTCCTAGGGGCAGTATTATTTTTGCTTAGCAATTTTTATCTGTGACCAACAATGATCCAAAATTGTTGTCATTCAATGGGGCTTGGCATTTTAAATTTACTTTCTGTTATAAAAATGCATTTCTCATCAGTATGACGAAGCAAATAATATAGAAAGTCTCTGTATAGCACTTTCAGAAAGTTATGTTTTACAGGGTTTGTTCTGAAAGTAACCAGATTGATATTGGTGAACTGAATTTATTGAAGAGCAAATACATTTCATAATTTTGAAAACATACCCATTGTGAAGCCACACAGCATTCCCAGCAATGTTTCCATTGGTATAGTTATGCCTTCATGAAGTCTTGTAAGGTGTTTTTCTTCAGAGTTTCTTCATTTTGGCCTCTGGAATGGTTTCAGTGGTTGCGAATCAGTATCTTTTCACATCTCTTTTCAGCCAGGAGAACAAAAAGATGTCACAGGGAGACAGGTTGGGTTGTAGAGTGGCTGTGGCAGTGTTAATATATTGTCAGAAACTCATTTTTTCTGATGACACGTCACTTGCTTAGACGGTCATAATCTACTCGCACCACTGCTTGGAACCAGCTAGGGTATTGGTTATGATCTACATGCACCCACCACAAGTGTTCCCTACCACGGTGCCCATGCAACATGTAACCAATCCAGTTACTTACTGGACAAACCCTGCATACACTTATTGTAATGAATGAAATATGTCTCTAATATCCTATAATTAGAATAGAAGAGAAACATGCCAATGTGACAGTCAAAATCGCAATAACAACTTCGTATTTAGCGTACATATATTAAAACATATATTAAACACACTAGCATATGACACATAGACTAAAACGCAAAACAAATCAGCGAAGTCAAAAAATAGAGAGCGAGGGACAACTGCACCTTCACGCACCAAGTCTGAACCTCAAGTGAGTCTATGTGTTATATGTTTGATCAGATAGCCTGGCTCAGTAAAAGTAGGCGGCCAGTGTAACTCTGATTCAAAATCCGGTTACAACCACATGCAGTGCTGATAACAACCACATGTTTCTGAGACTCCTTTGCCAATGCTTTATTTTTCTTCATTTTCCTCTTTCTAGTAATTTCGTTCTCCTGATGAGGAGGGACCTTTAGCTGCCCTCAAAATTCGATTGAGTGTTTTAATATATGTATGCTAAATACAAGATTGTTATTGCGATTTTGATCCTGTAATTAGTCAATTGCAGTTCTTACTGTCTGTGTCAGAAACAAAATCAAATAGTTTTGATGAAATATTGTAATTGACTTACAGATTGCAATCATCTTGCTTTATTTCTTTTTTTAATTATTGCATAAAGGCTGATCAAAAAGTGTGATGTGCAGTCCCCTGTAGTTTAGTAATGGTACGCAAATTTTGTTAGTAGAAGCAATGGACACATCACTCAATGTATGCTATAAATGCATGTTCATATATTTGGACCCGCAGAGACTGCATCAGGCCTAATATCTTGAGAACCAGCCCTGGATAAGCCTTAAATAGGAGCGAATTTATTTATTCAGAACTAGGAGAGGCTTTAGTGTGGGGGGAAATAGCCATAAGTTTAATAAATAACTATTATAATTCAAGGTTAACTTCATCAGCATGGGATAGAAGCAAGACAAAATGTAGTGGAATGCGTCTCTAGTCGCCTATCTCATGATGTATCGCCAATGTATAGCGGACTCTAGCTAAGCTTTATGATGATAGTTGTGAATTTGAAGGTATTTAAATATTGCCAATAAAAAGCGGGGTCTTCCAAATAATGGAATTTTTAAAGAAAAGTAAAGAAGTGGAAGTAAATAATAATGATATAATAGAAATTTTTCATTGTGATGACAATGTCTCAATTATCAGTCAACTAATGGACGCCGAAATCTATAGTATGGTTTAAAAGCTGGAAAATAGTGTTACCAGTAGTGATAGAGGTTGTTGAAAACAAAAACAAACAAACAAAAAAATCTGATTTACAATTTAATGGGAATTATTGATATGGCAATTATAGAACTTGAACAGTGAAACTCTGTAACCGAGCAAAAATTATAGAATTAAAGAGAAAGTATTAGGACAAAAAATGAAGCAGGTTAAACAACTTATATTAAAAGAAATGTTTAATAAAACCAAACAAATAAATATTGAGGTTCCCCCCTTTTGATTCTCATAAAGTCATAAATGCTTCATTATTTCAGAAATCACTATTTCGTATTTTTAATCTTATAATTTCTGCATACCATCTTATTAGATTTGAATTGATGATCCAATATCTGGAAAATTCCCAAATCCAGAATTGTGGAAGTTTCGATGAGTCCCTGATTTTGTACTTTACAAATAATACATTTAGCTTTTTTCTAACAATAGCACTACTAGAGTATGGTTTTTGTTGAAAATCTAATAGCTTGATTAAAATCAGAAATGTCCGAAATTATGTCTGAAGATGAGATAAAAAATGCAATATAGATAATTTTATATGTTCTAAAGCATAAAAATTAATACTGCAAATTAACAGTTATTGAAATATTAAAATATCTCATTCAAATTTTGTCATTCAGTATGTAATTAAGGTACATTAAGATAAAAAATACTTCTGAAATTACATTTTTATATATTTTTAAGTTATCTTTATTTGAATTTCTTCAATTACATTAGAGACATAGTAATAAATAAAAAAATATTTAAAAGCATGTATATTTATTTGATGTGTATTTTCTCATTCCATTATATTGCTTTCATAGATGCCTTCTGTCAGGAAGCAGAACCATGAACCTTTGAGTGAAAGTCGATACAATCAGAACCATTGGCTGATCCAGGAGGCGGAAATGCGGAGGATAACAGAACTGAAAGAACGACAACGTGCCACACATCATTCTCAAACGCATCTTGCAGAAGATAACGTTTGTAGTATTACTCCAAAAGTGCCAGTTCTGCCTCCCACACAAAACCAACACCAAAACTATGCAACTCCTGAAATTCTATGGACCTATGGGAACGTTGGTTCAACAATCAAGAAATATCCTTCCATCAATCCCAACAAACCTTTTCCAGTTTATGCGAGGGAGCCCACGGCGCAAGCTCCAGTGAAGCCATCTCGAACGGGGCCATTGGAAAGACAAGAGCAGATGCTGTCTGTTAGTGGGCGTAAGAGGTGTTCGCATTGCAATGAGGAATTAGGTGAGGCAATAAAGCTTAGTTGTTTCAGATAATAATATCACAATAAGAATTTTGCTTGAGAAATGTGTTTAAGAAATATAAAGTTATTTACATAAATTAAGCTTTATAATAACATTTAAGGTAAATTCCATTTTTGGCACTTCTTAAAATAGTCTACATTTCGCTGATAATTTCCAAAAACTGTGTTTGATAGTTTAAGGTGTATTAAGATTTATTTTCCCTTGATTAAAGTATTGAAAGGGTTTTTAGAACTGGAGGTGCTCAGACCTCACTTTTTGGTCTATGTCACTTTTCAAATGTTGCCACCAAATGTATTGTTTTGAAAGAAATATTCCCCTGATTTACAGAACATGTATTTAAAAGAATAATACTTTTTTTTATACATACACTTTAAAGAATAGTAGATTTTTTACTCCATGTGTTATTTTTAAAGAAATAATACAGCGAGTATACTAAAAAAAAATTATGGCAGAACAAATAAAAAAACTGTTGACATCCAATTTTATTGCTATGTATTATTTTTAAAGAAATAATGTAGCAAATATAAAAAATGGTAACACTTATTAGAAATTTAAAAGATATATGATATAGAATATTTTTAACTTCCACAAGTCAGTTTGTTGCTGAAACATAAGATATTTAATTTTTCTTTTAAATTCAAGCTGCCTGTTATTAATAAACTAAACGTTTTAAAAGCAATATAATTCGTTCTTTATCTTTGTTGTTTATTAATTACCAGCTGGACCCATGTAATGGCGCTAGTTGAATTTATTAAAAGCATTATGTTATTTTTTTTAGCACTTTCTGAAAATGATAAATATCTAACCTTAATAGACTAATTGCGGAGTTTCAAGATTCCAAAGTATAACAAATCCATAAATTTTATTGGATTTACAATTAGATTGCATAAAACCTAGTTTCCTTTTGAAACAATTATCGTCGTACAAAAGACATGATGTCCCCAAAAGCTTGTGGAATTTTTTTTTCCATTATGCAAGCAATTTTATCGGCTTCTGGTACAAATTTAATTTGTTTAGCCCGAATAGCAGATCATGTGTAGAAGTCAGAAATGACACAAAACCAATTATTTGTCCAGCATCCAATACTAAGCAAAAACAGAGTTATCTCCAATGCTAAGCTTGATGAACAAACACAAACAGAGAATCTCACTAAGTTGAAGGCTTATCTTGAAAACAATACAATCAAAATCCAGAAATTCAGAATATCATGATAACCATAGTCATTCAAAAAGTAGGCAGTGTAATTCACACACGAATCATGCCAACACTGGTTATTGCTTTTAATATTGAAATTTTAAAGCTAATGCTTTTAAATGTCTTTCTCCATGCTCTTTTTTAGTTGGAAAACTAAATTTGGTTGCTATTTCAAAACAAGTCATTGATACTTGAATAGCAAACACTTCCAAAGATTACACATATATGACAAACATGAAATTTCTTGTTGACACACATAGTGACATTTCCTGCATTCCTGTACCAAGATTTTCCTCTTGGGTTTTGAGCTGTTTGTTAAAATTAAAATGTACAGCATTAGGCGATTAAATTTAACTTTCAATCTTGGGCGAAATTGAGTGGGATTTCATAATAGCTAATGTTTCAATTCCCATAATAGGAGGTGATTTTTCTCACCCACTTTGGATTACTAGCATACCTGCCGACTTTTACGAATGTTTCGTAATTTTTACGAAAATGCGTTTGTCTTTACGATTTTACGATCGTAATCCATTTTTTACGATTTTTTTCCTTTTTCAAGTGTTTTTAGTGATTTTTGTCGAAATTTTAGAATTTTTCGCCAATTCAGCAATTTTCGCCAATCGCATCGTGTTTTACCGCCAACTACCGATTACTTCGAATTCAGTAACCTGCGGTTTCTCCCAACTCGCCGCTTAACCTCCCAACTCGCCGCTGAACTTGTTTGTCCCACTCTTTTCTTTGTGGGCGGCAGATTATTTTTTTAGCGTGGATTGTCGCATTCTTTTTTTTTTTTTTTTTTTTTTTTTGTTGTTTTGCACGTGCTGCGAATTTTCTTAATACGTCGTTGTTACGAAATGAGTTCAAAAAAACCATATTCTCAATATTTTCGGCCTGCCTACAAAGCCGAATTTCCAACAATTAAAGAATCCTTCAAAAGAAATAACTGTGCATTTTGCAACGTGTGCGTGTGTGACTTCATAATAAGTCACGGTGGAAGAAGCGACATTGTGAAGCATTGTTAAGTCTAAAAAGCATTAATGTTAGCAAGTTAATGCTTCGGCTTCGACAACGTCAAAGAAAGTGGATGATTTTTTTTCAAATTCGTGTTTTCATCCGCAGAGAGCCTGTTGGCGCTTCGGGAAAGAACCCGTTGCATTTTTACTCGCCAAGCTCGCGGTTCATCGACCATGAGCCGTGTAAGCGTGATATTTATTATTTTGTAAACGTGATTTTTAGTGCATGTAAATTCAAGTTAGCAGACAAAACAATATATTAAGCATATGGTAGTAAAATTCACAGATAATATGCATGTAGATGTAAAACTAAACGGTTAAAACGTGATATACGGAAATAAATTTGTATTAAATTCAAGTTAGCACAGAAAAGAATATATTAAGCATAAGACAATATATAAGCATTTATAACGGAAATAAAAAATATAAATTAGTATTAATGTACTGAAATTACCCGGTTAAACGTGATAAATGAAAAAAATTTGTCTTAAATTCCAGTTAACACGAAAAACAATATATTCCTTACACCAGGAGTGGTTTGCTGATTTTGATGACCATGGTGATTCATCAAACTATTCTGTCATCTTAGATAATCAATCAAATTTTTTATTTCAATTTAATCATCTATTTATGTAACACCTGCCATCCTCTGAAAGGTTATTGTTTAAAAAGCATTAACAAGATATTATCTTGTTAAAATTTTACGCCATAAAAATTGAATTATTCTCGTAATTTTAGATGACAATAACCAATAATAAAAATAAAAGCATTACTTAATTACTTAAAATGCATATTTTTGCGGCCTACGAAAACAAATTATTTTAGGGAGTTGGAAACCTCATAGTTCTGCATGCTTACAGCTTTACAGCTGTTAATAATTAGGAACACAACGTGAAACAAGCCGTGTTACAAATTAGCATTCACCCCTCCCGCCTGTATTTTCTTCCTTTCATACCGAACCGAACCGAACTACTACGGCATCTATTCTACGAAAATATTTCTAATAAATAAGAGAAGAATAATATAAATCTGCAAATGCGAACAACGACAGTGATAATTCAACAAAGTGAACGCAAGAGGAAATGGTTGCAAACTTCGAACAAGCGAATAGGATAAATCCGCTGGGTTCCCAGGTTGAACTATTATCGCCAAAGTTGGCGATGTTTGCATTTACCGGGTTCTCTGCGGAAGTGCTTCCTCAAATTCGGCTACGAATTCGGATGCCGATGTCATTTTGCCAGAGTTATTGTTTACACAGTTTGAAGACTTTGCCAGTTCTGGAGAAGATAGACTTGATGTCCTCGTTGGTACCTTAAAAAGAATAAAAAGAGCTGATGGAACACCAAAATATGATAGACTAGCAAGAGTTTTATGTGCTATTCTTGTAATTCCACACAGTAATGCTGAGTGCAAGAGAGTCTTCAGTGTTGTGAAGAAAAACAAAACTATGTTTTGTTCTTCAATTTCACCAAAAACTCTAGAAAACACTTTTATTGCTAAATGTTATGAGGAAACTAATTGTTATGATAAGAAATTTTCCAAAGAATTTTTGGCTTCCAAAGCCAAAAAATGCACTCTAAATTCATTGCAATAATTTTTTTTTGTGAACATTAAGTTCTTGTTTTATTTCCTAATAAATTTTTTAGTTACTACTTAATTGAGATTTACTAATGTAAGTACAATTTTCTTTTTTCTATTTGTATAAATTGTTATTTTTTTAATATCAAAGCATGATATTAATTCTTCATGTTCTTCTGAATTTTGGAGATATCTTCTGAATTTGGGGGAGAAATCTTCTGACTTTTTATCTTTAGAGGTTGGCAGGTATGATTACTAGTCAATTTACCAAAAAACTAAAATAAAATAAAAATGAATCATTGGCACACTAACATCTCTTGCTAGTAGTGGCAAATTAGAGCACAACACACAACTGAATGCGAAGACTATTTTGGAATGTTCTTAACATAACAAAAGTTTTGCTCAATTTTCGAACTCGTATCAATAGTAACCAGTACAATCCAAAGTGATACATTATTCGTCCCGAAGTTTGCGATGAAGCTAAAAAGGAGTCTGAATATATATTGGAATAGGGATTTTCTCTACTCTCTAACTATAACTTGTCATCACTTCTACACATAGTACATAAAAAGTCTACTGGCATTAGACCAGTTGGAGATTACAGAGCACTTAATTCATTTGCAATCTGTGATTCATATCGTATTCCACATACTCAGGATTTTGTTCAGTCTGTTCACTGCAAAACAGTGTTACATGTTGCCTGAACTTATCATTATATAACCATCTATGCAAAGCATATATCTAGAACAGCAGTAATAACAACTTTTGGTCTTTTTGAGTTTCCTTGCTGTGGACTCGCAAATACTGCACAGATCTTCTGACGTTTCATATGTGATGTGTTATGAGGACTAGATTTTTGTTATATGTATACATTAAATGTATATAACAAAAATCTAGTCCTCATAACACATCTGTAATACTAGATGCGAATACTATTTGGAATATTTCTGGGAACACTAGAATGTCATCTATGATAACATTCTAGTATTCCCAGAAAACGAAGCTCTTCAAAAACAACACATTTCAAGTTTTAAATGAATATGACTTACATACTTCAAAATGTTTTTTTGGTGTTCCAGAAATATAATTCTTATTAAATGGAAATAAAATTCTTATTAAAAGAATGGAAGTAAACCTTTACCTAAATGAGAAGACCCAATTTTGAACTTCAAAGAACGAGAAAGTGTTAAAGAAC